TACAAGAACTTATCAATTGAGATAAAAAATGAAGAAGAGATTAAACAGAATATTAGTTCATGATTGACTACCTGACCAAGATTGGGTCGAAATTAGAAAGCATATAAATAAAAAATGAGAGAAAAGATAATATTTAAAGTAATATTGAAATCATAAATTTAACATAGAAATTTACTTTCTAATGTCAAAATATACCACTGAAATAGAGTGAAATCAATACATACCTCATAAGTATGGGCAGTGCTATTCCACTCCATTAGAGTGCATTTACGTGCATCATTCAAATGATTTCCTTGAGTCTCCATCTTGATGCTTTCCTTGACTGTCCTAGGCCTCAAAGTTTCAGCAACTTGTAAAGCATTTCGTAGTGGGTCTTTCAAAGTTGCTCCTAATTCCGATATACTAGTATTAAGTTCTCCTTGCACTTTATTATACTCAGGGTTAAGAATAGGATCACATTTACTGTACAATGGCTCGGCATTTGACTCCTCAGCATCAGAGATCTCAATTGAACCTACATGGCATCTCCAATGTGCAATGTTCTTTTCCCTCAACATGTTCTTACAAATTTCTGTATGAAAGGAAAAGAAGCGGTATGTATATGTATTTAGTTATGATAACTTGTAAATTAAATGAAATCAAAAACAAAAAAAAAAAATGATCACTACAAAACATGAATATAAGAAATAAACCATTATCGTAAATGCATATTCACAGTTAGGAACCACAGAGTTCCACAATTTTTTTGAGAAGTTCATAACCGAAACAGGAGAACAAAGATAAGGAATCACACAAAAGAAAATCAAGAATCAAGACATCTAAACCATAACAAGAAGCAGACTGATACTTCAGTCTATTAAGAGAATTAATTTCTTAGTTCTCATACTTGTATGTTACAGGCCTTATTTGATAGGGCAGAGGGACATGGGTCAAAAACACAACGCAATAAGGAGAAAAGCATCCTAGCCCCATCACCATTTGTGGCACTGCTATAATGCAATTGAGAAAAGCATTCTATCACTATAAATAAAAGAGCTGCTGAGACAAATGGGTGATATTTTGATCAAAGATTTTCTAGAAGAACTTAATAAACAAGAACTTATTTAAAAGTGCAACATATAAGCATGGGTCATATGCATGGCACCAAAGAATCCCTTGGAATGAACACACTAACCATATTATTATTTCCATTATGTTTGACAGCATCAACTATGAATAGAAAAAATCTGTATCGAGCAACAAAAATGTAGATCTCCCACATTATTCACATACTCATAATTTTATGGTGAAGCCGATAACATACAAAATTAAGGTTACCTTGTCCACAGAGGGATTAAGGATAAATCTATAGATCACATGCAGAGTTTCTTATAGATCATACTAGAAGTTCTTAAGCATCACTCCTAAGATTTGAATGCGTTATACAAACTCTCATAATAATTTATTAACCAGAGATTTCCCCTCAACTTTTCTGCTGGCAGGATTGGTTCCCTCCTATGGAGGTCGTAGGCCTTGATGTCCTCCTTGTCGCGTTGTTATAACACCAGGAAGTGGGTAGAATACTGCTTTCAAGGCAGGGCGTATTCAAGCGAGTGACCTGAAAGTGGTGAGAAACGCTGGACTGGAAGGGATGGTGAAAAGGATGGAGGTTTCAGTAACCAGCAAATTTCCCAAAATTAGCTTCTGGGTGCAGTAGAGAGGGGTAAGAACAGATGACTATAACACTTTTTCAATAATCAAGGACCATAAAAATTATGGGAAAGGGGCTGTTAAAACTTATGAGGGCTGTGGCAAAGAAGAAATTGGGGGGAGGGTGGGGGGGCAAAAGAAGGAAATTGAAGAGGTTGCAGTATTCTATAAATTATGTAAAGGGGCAAGGGGTTAGAGTGCTTCAGACACAGAATATTTGTTGAAACTATGTTAAAAAATATTATTTCTTGGATTGAGACAGAGTAAATGATATAGGCAAAATGACAACCATCAAAGGTTGTCTTGTTAAATGGAATCAAATCTAGTGCATCCTCGAGGAAGTAGAGGGCAATCTACATCTAATTTTTTGGCACATTAGTCATGGAACACTATGACGTGGATTGTTGTTACTCACCAAGGGTTGGACAGCTCGAGGCATTCGTTTGTTGTAGAATGGTAGAACTACGGGCATGGTAGAACTACGGACATGGTAGATTAGTAGAAGGGTAAACACTTGATTAGTTGCTTTTTTTTCGAATACAAAC